TTAATGTAACGTGATATCTATCATTATTGACATGGATTCATAATTAATCTCACTATGAAGATACATAATTTATTGGATTGTTAATTACATTTAACATGTGAGATTCACTCTCCATGTATTTCTTTATTATTAATTGATAAGATCGATTAGTATGTAATGAAAACATATTTAACTAATATCAAGTGTACTGTTGTTTTAAAAATTTCATTGGGTGATCTAATTGCATGTTAGCAAAGTAAAGGTTGTTGGGGACCCAAAACATTGAAGTGCACGACTCCCACATGTATATAAAGAAGCAAAAGTGTGAATAAAATATAATTTTTTGTTGGTATAAAATAGTGTATTTTTTATATTTAAAAAATGTATTGATTTCATTCAAAATTATGAATCCCATTATTTCAGATAAATAAGTTGTGTTTGAAAGTATAAATAAAATCAGACTCAAGCTAACCCTATAAAAAGAAGATTTTTTAATCCTCATTTTGTAGGCACAAACACTAAGGCCATGTTTGTTTGGGAGGACATGAGCTTGGGATTGGACTAATAATCCAATAAAATTACTAATCCGATGTTTGGTTAAACAATTGAAGTATGGACTAATTATTTTAAACTTGACTATTAGTTAAGATAGGATACATAATCCAACGGATTCGTAGTCCTAGGACTATTAGTCATGGGAATGTTAATCCAGTCCGCCCAAACAAACATGACCTAAGAGTATTTATTCAGTAGTTTCATAGTTATTAATTTATTATAGTCGCAAGATAGATGTAGCTTACTAGATACTAATCCACTGAGCTTGTTCGGAAAGTTGAGATTTGGGATTTTTTGTCTAAAATAATCACAAAAAAATAAAAATAGTCTAAATATGACATCTAACCCATAATTATTATATTCTTTCTCTTAAAGAAGCAAAAGTGTGAATAAAATATAATTTTTTGTTGGTATAAAATAGTGTATTTTTTATATTTAAAAAATGTATTGATTTCATTCAAAATTATGAATCCCATTATTTCAGATAAATAAGTTGTGTTTGAAAGTATAAATAAAATCAGACTCAAGCTAACCCTATAAAAAGAAGATTTTTTAATCCTCATTTTGTAGGCACAAACACTAAGAGTATTTATTCAGTAGTTTCATAGTTATTAATTTATTAAAGTCGCAAGATAGATGTAGCTTACTAGATACTAATCCACTGAGCTTGTTCGGAAAGTTGAGATTTGGGATTTTCTGTCTAAAATAATCACAAAAAAATAAAAATAGTCTAAATATCACATCTAACTCATAATTATTATATTCTTTCTCTCACAAAAAGTCAAAAAAACCCTTTCCAAACGAGACTTTTTTGCTCCAAAAATAGTCAAAAACTTAAAAAGTCAAAAAGTCAATTCACTTCCCAAACGAATAGACAAGAGATAGGTGAGTTGTCCTAACTCATCTTCGATTGGTTATATAAGATAAGATCAACCTCTCCTGCATTTTTAATATATTTCATTAGTTAAGAGGACCACATATACATGTAATTCTTAAATAATTTTTCGGACAATAATTTGGTTTTTGCAACTTTTTTTTGATAACCTCAATAATTTCTACTTATTCATCTTAATTAAATCATAAATTATGAATAAAAATTATTCTGACATAAATTCTAAAAAAACTATGCACCAAACAGGGTATTTAATGAGTTAAAAAAAAAAAAAAAACAAGTTCACAAACATCATCATGCCAAAAGTGGATCCACTAACCGAAAGTAAAGGCACTAATCTAAAGCCTAAAGCACTAACATAAAATATATTAACACCTTTGAAGACCAAAATCTACTCAATAGCCTTTCTTTTTCATTTTCTTTTCTTTTTTGTATAATTTATTTACGAGCTTCTTTATTTAGCATAAATCCAAAAAAATTCCTGCTTTGTCTTACATTGTCCTAACCCCATCATTCTCTACTCTCCCTCTCTCTCTCTCTCTCTCTCTCTCTCTACAAAACTATAAATTTACTTCTCAGACGTATAGAGGGTATATCATTGTAGACATGGGTTCTTGCGTTTCAGTGCATAAGAACTCTCAATCAGTTCAATCACCCATTAAGAAAAACACACTCAACACTGAACAAATCGAGCCTCAATCCTCTTTTCTGGCCAATGTTTCAACTTTTGGAGACTTGGGTATGATTCCGATCTTGATTACTCAACTAGGGTTTAAATTTTTTGATTTTTTTTTGAGCATTTTTTCTTATGTTAGCTAACTTTGATATGTTCTATGACATGTTTGTTTGTTTCCCAATGATTTTTATCCGAATCATAGTGATGTCTTTTGTTTTGATTCTTTTAGCATAATTCTGATTCTTCTTGTGAATTAATTTATATCTTCTATGAAATGTTTGTTTGTTTGTTTTTCCAATGATTTTTATCCGAATCATAGTCTTTATGTCTTTTCTATTGATTCTTTTAGCATAATACCGATTCTTCATCAGAATTAATTTATATTTTCTTCTAGTGAAACCTATATTATAAGTCGATTACAACCATGAACTACCAAAGTTTAGGAGAATTTATTCATTTACGCTGTGTTTGGTTAGGGGATTTAAGGAGGGATTTGGAAAGGAAAAAGGAAAAGTTAGGTGAGATGTAAATAAAATATACCTACATTTCACATAATTTCACGCACTTTTTTCATTTTTCTTTCCAAATCCCGCCCAAATCCCCCAGCCAAAGACAATTTTAGAGTGTCAATTTAGTGATTTAATTGTTTTTGGAAAAAAAATATTTCTTCAATTTCTTTCTGGTCAGAATTTGTTTTCGTCAATTTTTTATACATATTTCATTTGATTTATTTTCCTTCATTGCAAATTTCTTAATGGAGTATGAGTATCAATGTACTTAATGACTTGGGAATAGTAATAAAAATTCTAGATTCTCTCTTCTTTTCAAATTTTTTTTTTTTCTTTCCAATTCCTTGGCTATTCATGTGAATGAACCGTTTAATCTTGATATTCTTAGTGAATTAACGGATTTAATCTACATATTTGATCATATTCCACCTATGATCACTAAAATCAGAAAAAATTCTTTTCTATATTTGTGTTTTGTTAAAGGAAATATTATCATGTTGGCAGTAAATATGCTTGTAATAACTACACTATTGTAATAATTACTTAAATTGTTTTCATAAATTTTTTCCTTTGATGGAAAATGAATCTGATCCAACATATTTTTGTGAAGTAATCTCATCTAATCTTATCAAATGGTTATTTGATATGTATTTCTCAATGTAAGAGATTGCAAATTTGTAATGAGACACACCAAGATTGCATATATATATATATATATGTTTATCTTAGATGCATTTGTGATTGTGACTTGGGCAGAAATAACCTCTCTTTACACACACATTTGACGCTTGTTGGCAGTGGTGGGAGTTTTAGGCCCTAGAACAAGGGATAGCAATTTACTCCGTCCTGATCCCCCTCCCACTTATATATATATATTAAATATTTTTGTATGTATTTATATTTATGTACAATTAAAATTTCAAAACATAAAATAGGATTAATCTACCAAAATATTACCCTCATTTTACATTTTTATATCTTACCTGTCTCTCTACACGGGTAATTGATGCTTGTTAGACCTACCAATGGCTGGTCGGAGTTTCTGGCACTAGGACAAGAAATAGTAACTCGTATATATTTAAATTTCAAAATACAATAGGATTGCCCTAATTTTCAATTTTTATCCCTGCTCTTATCGAACTTCTTTTAACTATTATTACTCATCAGATGAATACAGAACACATTGGTTAACTATTTTTTGGACTTCAATATTAACTAGTGTTCCTGCTATTTATGCAGGGAGTAAAGAGGAGAAGTTTTTCGATTCTCAACTTTGGTTAACAATTTTGCAAGGAAGCATACTACTTTGCATCAACAACTAATAATGAATTACTTTCAGATTTCATTTTTTTTTTTAACTTCTGTTTTTGACTAGTTTGTAATATCTCAAGCAGATTTTACCCCATCTCGTGGCAACAAGCCGTCCATCGAAGCAGCTTCATACAAACATCTCAGCCTGGTTCTTCCATATCCGAACTTTCTCCAACCGATAATGTGAAGAAACTGGCTGACCTTTTTAGCGAGAGCTTCTATGAGAACCAAGTCGATGAATATCAAAATTTACAAGAAAGTAAGACTATTACTTCCGATCAAAAGCCAGAAGGCAAACATACAACACGAATAAATGGAAGCCCTCAAATTTCTGAAGCAATTTCTAATTTCAGTAATGAAATAGCTTGGGGGAGAGTTCACAAATCTGAGAAACAGAAATTGTCGAGGTCAGTATCATGTTGCCTACCTAGTTTGGCTTGAAACCTGAGCTTCTGTGAGAGGAAGAAGAGGTTGAGCCCTAACGATAGTATTGGAAGATAAGCCAAGATTTTCATCATCCATCCCGTTTGTTAGAAGTTTCACATATGAATTGGCATGATCATGTGAGAATTGTATCATTTGCAAAGTTACTTGTCATTTCTCTAGCACGGTATCAGAGCCATTTGTGAATTTGGTTGGGAATGATCTCACATATGAAACAAAGAAGTTAAATATTTGTTCCATCAATCTCTAACGTTGTGTTTGGTTGGGGAATTTAGAAAGAGATTTGGAAAGAGAAAGGAAAAAGGTCGGTGAAAATGTACTTGGAATTTTTTCGAATATCTTTTCAAATCCCCTAACCAAACACAGTGTAAAGGAAGAAAATGTACTTGCAAAGGTATATTTATTTGGAAAAAATGCACATGCTGAAAAGATAAAACCATTAAATCGACTTATTTTCATTTTATTTGGAATTTTTTCAAATTTGTGAGTAATAGTCAAAACAGAGATGGCTAATGTTGAAATAGATTTTTCCATCTTTTTTAGTGTAAGAGTAATCGGTTTATTTGCGGACTGTTTTCAAATCAATGTTTAATTCAGAAGCAAGAGAAGTAATAAAAGTGATCATAACATCACATTTTCATGTAAATTCTTCAATATTATTTATATATTCGACAAATTAGGAACGCAAAGTACAATCTGGAAAAACATTAACATAGTAAAACAACTTGGGAAAATCTATGATTTTAGAGGCACATCGTAAGAAAATTTATATAAAGGAGGAGGATACTAGGTGAGCCCCATGAGCCCGAACAGCCGTCCAGTCTAAAACAGTGACTGGAGGGGATCCTCCTCTTCTGTGCCTGTAATCTTGTTTCAAGTTCACTGCAACAATGACAACAAAATCAAAAACAAAAAGACAACTAACAAATACTTGCTTCTTTATAATCTCACATACAGGGCAGAAAATAAAAATAGAGCCAAAACCATTACCAGAAAACACCAAAATAACCGTCTCTATGTCGTCCTTTGAAAATGAGCCACATTTACTGCAATGACAGCAAAGAGCCGATCTTTCACTTCATCTAGGTATCGAAAATAAGCTCGTCTCCAAGACCTTTTTAGTACCAAAGTGCCACAAACAACCCAAAATCCTACAATGAATCCAACTCCTGTGCTAAGATAGAACCAAAACTCATCATACTCGTCTTCCTTATTGTCCACCTTTTTTTTGCCATCTTTGTCTTTTGCATCAACATTAGTTGCAATGGAACACTTGGTTGACAATGGGAGCCCACAAAGTTCCGGATTACCTTCATAAATGGATGGATCATTGAAAGTCTGGAACTGATTGGTTGAAGGAATTGACCCAGAAAGGTTGTTGTATGACAAGTTCAAATGGCTCAGTGATGTTAAAGAAGACATGGTTGAAGGAATTGAACCAGACAGGTGGTTGCTCGAAAGGTCTAGTGTTTCTAACCATCGCAATTCTCCAATTTTCTTTGGTATCTTTCCTGTCAATTGGTTTCTTGATAAATTCAAGGTACCCAAGTCTGATAGATTTGCTATCTCTTCTGGGATTTCCCCAGATAGATTATTGCTCGAAAGGTCTATAACATTAACGAGCTCCAGTGTGATGGTATACCCAAATTGTCTTCCTTTCACTACCAAATCCATTTGATGAATATAAATCAACTGAGATGGAAATGCAAATGGAAATGGAAATGCAGTATTGGAAGAGGTGAAATGATTAAAGCCACTCAAATTTCCCAAACAGCGAGGTATAGATCCTGTAAAATAGTTATGAGCAAGGTCTAAGATGTGGAGATCAGATAAATGACATAGCTGTTGAGGTATATCTCCGGTGAACAAGTTGGCTCGCATTCGGAGCTTGGAAAGCAACGAAAGATTTTCTCCCAGCCATCCTGGTATGTTCCCGGAAAATTTGTTATCTCCAAGATCAAGAGTGTACAAACTCCTGCAATTCTTCAACCAAGAGAGTTCGCCAGAAAGATTGTTACCACTCAAGCTCAACCAATAAAGAAACGATAGCGAGCACATTGATTCAGGAACATGGCCAGAGAGATTGTTTTGGGACAGATCTACGCTCCCAAGAGCTCGCAAGTCCTCCAAATGGATGGGAATTTGTCCAGATAGATGATTGTCTGAAAGAAAGAGACCAGTCAAAACTTTCAATTTAAATATGGACAAAGGAATGGTACCATTTAGAGAGTTCCCAGAAAGATTAAGCACGACTAACGATGACATGACACTGCCAATAGTCGAAGGAATCGCTCCTGAAAATAAATTGTTGTTCAGAAAGAGAAACATTACGTTAGGCCAGAGTGGGATTGTGCCTTCCAGGCAATTGAAACTCAAGTCCACGAAGGAAATTCCTGATGAGTTAGGAACCACACCGACAAGTTGGTTGTGAGATAAATCAAGGATGTCAATCTGCATTGACAATTTCCAAAACCAGTCAGGTATTGTATCTGAAATGGAGACATTTGTGAGGACTATGGATGAAAGTTCTTTCTGATTTCTCAGCCATGTTGGAAATTTTGGACCCAACATATAGTTACTGATTTGGATAGCTAACAGGCTAAATGGAGGAACCCATTCATGTGTCACATAAAAAATGGAAGTTGTGTCCGAAGATACGGAGAAAACTCGTAGTTTTGCCAGACCCTGTAAATGGTTTTGGGACAAGAGGCCTTTCCAAGAATTATGGAAGAGTTGCAATTTAGTCAACTCTGTAAGTCTTCCTAAACTTGTGGGGATAGACCCATTCATCTAATTAAAAGAAAGGTCCAATTCCTTTAGAAAAAACAACCTTCCAACAGATTCTGGAATTGGACCTGAGATCAGATTCTCATTCAGTACAAGGGATCTCAAATAATTCAAGTGTCCCAACGAATCGGGCAACTTCCCATTAAATTTGTTGGACCCCAATATCAACTCTTTCAAGCTACTGTTACAACACCCTGACAATCCCTCTAAAAGTTGACTTATGTCACCACTAATAGAGTTAGAAGATAAATCTAGTGATTGCAAGTTATGATAGTTTCCCAAAGCAGCATTGACAATGGAACCCGTAAAATTGTTTAGACAGACATTGAATTCCACAAGAGTACTAATATTGAAAGGCCATAGAGGCAACAAAGAGTTAAACTCATTAAAAGAGAGATCGAGGACCAAGAGGGAAGTAAAATTTATATTCTGTATAGCTTTTGGGAAGTTGGGGAGTTGACAATCAAACAAGTGTAACTCAAACAAAGAAGGCATGGTATTAATTGATTGCAACCAATCTGTTGCTTCACTCAGGTTCACACCACCAAGATTAAGATACTTCAAAGAAGATAGGCCAACAAGCCAGTTTAAATCTGATGCCCAAATATTGTAGTAAAAAGCAAATGCAGAGAGGTCGAGATATTGCAAGTTTGACAGATTTCCAAGATGAGGTGGAACCATTCCACCGAAATTTGATTGAGAAAGACTAAGATAACTCAATTTCTCAAGTGAACCGATGAAATTTGGGATTGTGATTCCATAGAAATCATTCATGCTTAGATCCAAGTAACTTAAATACTTTATGTTGAGCAAAGAATGACTTATCTCACCTCCCAAACACGATGAGGAGTTATAATTGTCTGCAAGTCCTTCATACAAACTGCAGGAATCTCCTCCTTGGTTTCCGAGGTCAATCTTGAAAACGTTGCCAGTGTGTTTGTTGCAGCTCACACCCTTCCATCGACAGCAATCTGTGCCAACCCAAGAAGAAAGCCGACTAGAAGGATCTGTGAGTCCTTCTTTGAATTTAAGAAGGGCTTTCCTCTCAAATTCAATGCACTGCGTGGTTAAATTACCGTCATTGGAATTGAATCTACTGGTTTCAAGAGAAACAAATTGAGAAGGCAATGAAAGAAAAAGAAAAACAGTAAGATTAAAGATGCTAGGATATATACTCTGACTAGTCATCTTTGCTTCAAATTAAGCACCGCCAAAAGATAGCATCAATACTTGGTAAACATATGAATTTCTGAAGATATATATATATATATATACATATATGTATGTATGCATTGATTGAGAACTTATCTATGTTTGTGAAAACTTACGAGATTTTGTGAACTAATTTACGTATATTTGTGAAAATAGTCATCTTTGCTTCAAATTAAGCACCGCCAAAAGATAGCATCAATACTTGGTAAACATATGAATTTCTGAAGATATATATATATATATATATACATACTAGCGGTTGGGCACACACGATGTGTGTGCAAATTAAATAAAGAGGAATAAAAGAAAATAATAATGAAATTAATATTATAATGTGTTCTTAGCTTAAGTGGTATGAGTCTTCATACTTAAACCCATGGTCATGGGTTCAAGCCTTGTCCATCTCTTTGTTTAACTTTTTTTTTAAAAAATAAAAAAGAAGACTGCCACATGGCATGAGGAGAGTAAAGCAAGCTTCAGGACACCATATTATGTGTTCACTTTATAATAGTATAGATAGATAGATAGATAGATAGATATGTATGTATGCATTGATTGAGAACTTATCTATGTTTGTGAAAACTTACGAGATTTTGTGAACTAATTTACGTATATTTGTGAAAACTTACACAAATATATAAACTTAAGAATTGCCCATGGCTAGGGTAGTAAAATCAATCAAACCAATCAAACTATCTCGTATTTAACTTCTTCAAATTTCCTTCATATATTTTTTTACATTAATATTTATTAAAATATAATGATGAGAAAATTAGTAAAAACACCATTCTTCACAGTAGTAGGAGAGGTTTAATATATTTTTTTAATTAATTAATCCCTCAATTAAATCAAATCAAACACAGCGATAATAAGAAAGAAAAAAAAAATTGTTTGGGATCTCGTGACCCCAGCGATGTATTAACCATTGATATGTTTAAATTTTTTTTTCTATATCTGATAATGACATGAATGGTTCAGATTATTTTGGGGTTATGAGGTTGTGTTTTGTGGACGTCTATATCATTACTGAAAACAAAAATTAAAGAACAATGAGAAATCGCATACCTAAGAAGGACGGTCGGTTCTAGGTGTGTGTGACTGAGAATGATAGTGAGAGTTGAAGAGAGAGAGAGAGAGAGATGAACGCTTGATTACGCTGGTGTATTTTGTGGACTTTGTCTAGAATTTCTCTGATTGTCGAAAATTTATTTGTGAAGAACTAAGGGTGGGTTTGGTTTGTGTTTTGAAACATGTTTTTGAAAGAATATTTTAAAAAACATATTCTTTCAAAAACATGTTTGGTTATAAATTTTCTCAAGAAAATTTTAAAATTACTTTTCTTTGTTACACATCAATCAATCACTTTTTTCTCTCTTCTCTCTCCTCTCTCCTCTATTCTTCTCAAACACTTTTTCTATCACATTTATTCAATTACAATGAAATATCAAATCATCCCAAATTTTCAAACTTCAAAATTATTTTCAAAATATACAACCAAACAAATTAAAAAAATTTCTAAACCCTCTCCTTAATTTTTAAAAAAATTTATTTCAAAACAAAAATCAGACACCTCCTAAAATTTCGAAACGAGATCCGAGCGATAAAAAGTACGGAAATTTATTTGGTTTGGTTTTTTTGAGAAACATGTTTTGAGATAAAAAGTACGAAAATTTTTTTGGTTTGGTTTTTTTTCAAAAGATGTTTTGAAAAATTATTTCGAGAGAGAGTTTTAGAAAAAGTGATTGATTTGATGTGTATGAGAGAGAGATTTGTTTGGAAAACTTGTAAACCAAACAAGTTTTGGAAAAATTTTTTAGAAAAATTTGTTTGGTTTGATTACTTTTGAAAACTTATTTGTAGAGAATTTTTTCCAAAATTTTTTGAGTAACAAAAACCAAACAAGGCCTTACAATTTTTGCAAAGTTAGGTGGGGTGAGTTGTACAAATTTAAGAGTAATAAACGAGCGGAATAATTAACTCTTAAAATTATGTTCAAAAAAAAAAAAAAAACCCCAAAACCTTAGTTCAAAAAATTTAATGAATTTTAAAATTTATTCAAATTTTATTCGTTAAATTTTCAAACCAATTTCAAACAAATTTTTGTCAAGCCAAACTCAAATATATTAGTATTTTTAGGTGGTTTTAAACTTGCCGAATGACGAATTAATTGTTTAATTTTAATTTGAAAATTTTAATAAGTTTTAAAATGTGTTTAAGATTGGTCAATTTACTTAACAATTTAAGCTTGAAATGAATTTTTAAGAAGTTGAGTATGGGTAAAACTCAAAAATATTTGATTATTTTATCACCCTAATTATACAAACTATAATTTTATTTTGATACTATAGTTTATGCCATAATGCCAAAAAAAAGAAAAAAGAAAAAAAAAAGAAAAGAAAAAAGGGGCATAATGACAGATCATTAGGGCGGTTGCTAACGTGTCCACAAAACTAAGAGGCTTTTCCCAAATTAACGTAAATTAGTAATTTAATTCTCAAATTAGGTTTAGTTTAGACAGAAATTTTAAATTAGGCTAAAGTGCTATTACAAATCACACTTTCACTGTTTCTAGGATCCTCCCGCGAAAAATTGGTGAAATAGTAAAAACGTGGTTATAAATCACGCTTTTAATTAAGAAAGCGTGGTTACAAATTACGTTTTTAAAGAATTTTTTTTTTCTTCATAAAATGTAGTTTCAAACCACAAATTTTTGAAAAAACATGATTTAGAATCACGCTTTCAATACACTCTATGCACTCACTCTTCTCTCTCTCCCTCTCTCTCTCTCTATGTGACAAACAAACACTCATCACACACACAAACACCACACACACACACACCAAACCAATATAATTTTTAATATATATAAATTTTATTTTATAAAATTAAGACCAATATTAAATATATATATATATATAATAATGACCACTAGTGGACAGTAAAGTCCATAGAACTTGAGGTCAGCGAGTTTGATCTCGACAGAAGGCACAGAATGAACGAACAGTGTAGGTTCATCACCTCAGAATGCCGAGGTAATAGAACCTAGGGGGCAGTTGTGGGGATATATTTTTTGAGTACAATACGTGGCAAGGTGACGCCGACGTGTCAGCCGAGGTTTCTACGTGTCTTGTCGTTGTGCCGAGGTCATCTCGACTAGGCCGAGGTTGCCTTCGAAGATATCGGAATCCGAGATAAGCGGATAAGGGACAAGATCCTAGAATGAAGAGGAACTCAACCTGGATATGGACAAGAGTCCTAGATTGGGAGAAGACTTCAGTTTGGGTAAAGATGAGACTCTTTACAGGAGTTTATCCTAATCTTACTGGGAGTCCAAGATTAGCAGTAATCCTAAGTCCATAGAAGTCAGGCTTCTATTGGACTAGGTTTATGTTGGCTATAAAAGAGAGGCACCCCCATGGGTCTAAGGTATGATTTTTATACTCAAGCTTGTGAGTTTTAGTACTTGATTTATCTTTGAGAGATATACTGACTTGATCGTCGGAGTGCCCCCAGGTGGTTCGAAACCACTGCAGGGATTCTTATATTTCTGTTGCATGGTCAGTCAGGTGCCCATCTATTCTGGCGGTGCTCTCCAGGCGTTACTAAGCGGGGCAGTGTGGTCAGATTTTCACCCACACATTTTTATATAATTGAGATCTATCAATATTTTTACAGAAAAATTACTCTTTATAAGAAATTTTAGCTCTTCACAAATAAATTTTCGACGATCAGAGAAATTCTAGACAAAGTCCACAAAATACACCAGCGTAATCAAGCGTTCATCTCTCTCTCTCTTTTATCTCTCTCCAATTCTCACCCTACACACTTTTCTTCGTTTCATCATTTCCTCAACTCTCACCATCATTCTCAGTCACACACACCCAGAACCGACCGTCCTTAGGTATGCGATTTCTCATCGTTGTTTAATTTTTATTTTTAGTAATGATATAAAACCCCCACAAACACAAGCCCATAACTTCAAAATGATAACCATTCATGTCATTGTCAAATATAAAAAAAAAATTCAAATGAAAAAAAAGATCCATTAGGGGATAGAGGAAAACTTAAGGAATCTTGATTTTCTGTTCTAACAACTCTAGTCTAACATTAAAAATATCTAGATTTAACAGAGTATATTTCAGACGGAGAATGACCCAATAGGAATATCATTGGTCCTAAACCTTAAGACTTGGTTGGTTTGGTTTTTTTATGATTTAATTTAAGATTCTTAATATTAAAATTTTATAAAATAATATATATATATATATATATATATATATTTTATAATAGTTAGGATCTATAATATTTTTAGAGAGAAATTTCTCTTTACAAGAAATTTAGCCCTTGTTTGGTTTGTGTTTCTCAAAAAAATTTAGGAAAAATTTCTTTACAAATAAGTTTTCAAAAGTAATCAAACCAAACAAATTTTTCTAAAAAAAATTTTCCAAAACTTGTTTGGTTTACAAGTTTTCCAAACAAATCTCTCTCTCATACACATCAAATCAATCACTTTTTCTAAAACTCTCTCTCGAAATAATTTTTCAAAACATCTTTTGAAAAAAAACCAAACCAAAAAAATTTTTCGTTACTTTTTATCTCAAAAACTGTTTCTCAAAAAAACCAAACCAAATAAATTTCCGTACTTTTTATCGCTCGGATCTCGTTTCGAATTTTAGGAGGTGTCTGATTTTTGTTTTTGAAAATAAATTTTTTTAAAAATTAAGGAGAGGTTTAGAAATTTTTTAATTTGTTTGGTTGATATTTTGAAAATAATTTTGAAGTTTGAAAATTTGGGATGATTTGATATTCATTGTAATTGAATAAATGTGATAGAAAAAGTGTTGAGAAGAATAGAGGAGAGAGGAGAGGAAGAGAGAAGAGAGAAAAAGTGATTGATTGATGTGTAACAAAGAAAGTAATTTTAAATTTTCTTGAGAAAATTTATAAACCAAACATGTTTTTTGAAATATTCTTTTCAAAAACATGTTTCAAAAACACAAACCCAAACCCACCCTTAGTTCTTCACAAATAAAATTTCGACAATCAGAGGAATTCTAGACAAAGTCCACAAAATACACCAGCGTAATCAAGCGTTCATCTCTCTCTCTCTTCTCTTCAACTCTCACTATCATTCTCAGTCACACACACCTAGAACCGACCGTCCTTCTTAGGTATGCGATTTCTTCATTGTTCTTTAATTTTTGTTTTCAGTATATGATATGACGTCCACAAAACACAACCTCATACCCAAAATAATCTGAACCATTCATGTCATTATCAGATATAGAAAAAAAATTTAAACTATCAATGGTTATACATCGCTGGGGTCACGAGATCCCAAACAATTTTTTTTTTTCTTTTATTATCGCTGTGTTGATTTATTTAATTGAGGGATTAATTATTAAAAAATATATTAAACCTCTCCTACTACTGTGAAGAATGGTGTTTTTACTAATTTTCTCATCATTATATTTTAATAAATATTAATGTAAAAAATATATGAAGGAAATTTGAAGAAGTTAATTACGAGATAGTTTGATTGGTTTGATTGATTTTACTACCCTAGCATGGGCAATTTCTTAAGTTTATATATTTGTGTAAGTTTTCACAATATACGTAAATTAGTTCAAAAATTCGTAAGTTTTCACAAACATAGATAAGTTTTCAATCAATGCATACTACATATCTATCTATCATATCTATCTATCTATACTATTATAAAGTGAACACATAATATGGTGTCCTGAAGCTTGCTTACTCTCTCTGCCATGTGGCAGTCTCTTTTTTATTTTTTAAAAAAAAAGTAAACAAAGAGATGGACAAGGCTTGAACCATGACCATGGGTTTAATATGAAGACTCATACCACTAAGCTAAGAACACATTAATATTAATTTCATTATTATTTCTTTTATTCCTCTTTATTTAATTTGCACACACATCGTGTGTGCCCAACCGCTAGTATGTAATATATATATATATATATCTTCAGAAATTCATATGTTTACCAAGTATTGATGCTATCTTTTGGCGGGCTTAATTTGAAGCAAAGATGACTAGTCAGAGTATATATCCTAGCATCTTAATCTTACTGTTTTTCTTTTTCTTTCATTGCCTTCTCAATTTGTTTCTCTTGAATACCAGTAGATTCAATTCCAATGACGGTAATT